CAATTTTAAACTCCTTACATTTTCGGTCTTATATAAATCTGCAAATTGTTTTTATTAACATGAAGTGCAGGGTACTCAACGCAGGAACTGAACGGTATCACTTTGATGGAGAGCATACCAGCCATCAGCACTAGCTTTGTCGCAGGCAGTGTGCCGGAAGTGTACAGACGCAAGATTTCCGGCCTGACCCGCGTAACATTAGGAGGTTGCATACCACTCGCCCAGAAGAATGATCGTTTGCATATTATTGTGACAGGTAACTGCATCAGGTATCTTAAAAGTCAGTTTATGGCAAACAATTGTATTCAGCAACTCGTTATCATGCCAAACGTTTGCAAGGGAAATGAACGCTGTAAATAACAATTAAAGTTTGAATATATAGAACAAATAAATAACTGTCTAATATGGGCGCTGATTGGCCACCGCGGACTATGTCAGTTTGCGTATGTGGGCCTGTGGAGCAAGATGTATTGGCCGAACGACGAGGCGTCTGGAAAAGGGAGTACGTGAACGCGTACCGGCCTGGTTAAGCAAAGATGAAACTAAATTGATCTCGAGCTCTATCCTCGCACACCTTGTCTATACGAATCATCGAGTCGATACCAATAAAGCCTTTCATGTTTTCTACCGGACACCATCTAACATTTTGCAAAGGCCTACGCAAACAGATGCTCGCAACAGTTCAAGCAGTAGCTATACGGCTAGCAAATCCACTGCTGTTTTGTCAGAAGACTCTGGCAGAAGCTCTTACACTTCCATGGCCTACACCGAGACCGGGTGGCGATAGCATTTCGCCCCTACCTACTAGCGGCAGTCTCTCAACCAACAAGATGACATTACCTACATGCGCAAACTAACATAGTCCGCGGTGGCCAATCAGCGCCCATGTTAGTCAGTTATTGATTTTTCTACATATTCAAACTATAATTGTTATGTACAGCGTTCATTTCCCTTGCAAATGTTTGGCCTGATGACAAGTTGCTGAAAACAATTGTTTGTCATTAACTGATTTTTTAAGATTAACCATGGGAATATTTACGGAACTCTACATTTATCATATTCACTGTTGTTATAGTTAA